AACCAAGGGCCAAAATGGTGAAAGGAATTCATCTACATGAAAAAAAAAGATGATATTTGACTCATATCTCACACCATACATAAAAATTAATTTGAGGTGGTTAATGACCTAAACATAAGAGGTAAAATTATAAATATTTTATAAGGAAACTCAGAGAATATCTTCACAACATCAAAGTGAGCAAAAGTTTCTTAGGACACGGTTTGGTAGAAGAAATAAGACCTAGTATTCGATAAATCAGTGAGCTGACTATAGTTAACATTAACGGATGATATGTTTCAAAATAACTAGAAGAGAATAATTTGAATGTTCCTAGCATAAAGAAAAGATAAATATTTAAGGTGATGGATATCACAATTACCCTGATTTGATTATATGAATGTATCAAATTATATGTATCATGAAAACATAGACACCTATCATGTATCAATAAAAATAAATGGATAAATAAAACATATTCAGAAACTACAAAAAAAAGCACAAATCATAAAGGGAAAATAAATCGACAGAAATAGACTTCATCAAAATTAAGCACATTTGCTCTTCAAAAGACACCTTCATAAAGTGAACAGCAGAGAACATAATTAAAGGACTCACATTCAAAATATATACATATATAAGCCACCCCTAAACCTCAATACTTAAAAGATAAATGACTCAGTCTTTTTGATGAACAGAAAATCCAAACAGGAACTTAAACAAAAAATATATTCAAATGGTCAACAAGCACATAAAGAAGTGTTCAACACTGGTCATCAGGAAAACACAAATTAAAACCACGCGATAACAGCATATACACACACTAGGACGGCTAAACCAAAGACAGAGATAACACCAGATGTTGATGTGATCTTTGTGGGGGTGAAAACAGAATGACTTTGTAAACCCGTCCAGCAATCTTAGCAATCATACACCGACTCTAGCACCCGGCACCACCACTCTTAGACGTCTACCCAAAAGAAATGAAAGCATATAAACACAAAAAGACCTGTACAAGAATATCCATAGAAACTTCATTAATGATAATAAATAACTATAAAGAGCTCCGATGTCCATCAAAATGAAATGGATAAAGAATTGATGACATCCACATACAATAGAATACTACACAGCAGTAAAAAGCAACAAATTGTGAATACACACTGCAACGTGGGTAAATCTCAAAAACAGTGCCACGTGGAAGCAGCAGGGTAAGAGAAGAATACTCCCGTATGACCCCATTTGATTGAAATTTTGAAGCAGCAAAACTAATCTCTGATAAAAAAAAAACAATATGGCTTAAATCTTCTTTCTTCTTACCACCGAGAATGCCAGTCAATGTAAAACTCTTAAACACACACACACACACACACACACACACACACACACACACACACACCCTTCCGACAGATGATACTGAACCTGATTTAGCCTTCTCCTTCACCGCGATGCAGAAATTTGATTTTTTCGCCTCCCTGCTAGCACAGAATCCTATGTACTCAGGAATGCAAACTGTAAATCAATACCCACGACCTAAAGGTGACATTTCGACAACTGTACATCCTGGAGCCTCCCAGGATCTCAGGATCAGTTTGTTCCTGTAAAATGTCTAACTTTTTAAATAATTGATGAGCGTTTAACTCCGCGTCTTACCGTTCAGGATGAACCTTCTTCATTGTAAATGTGTATGTCGTCATTTGAAAAGCCAGTTATTAATTCGCTAAATATTATTGAACATGTACTATGTGCCAGGCACTAGATTGTGCAGTGTGCATTTAGCAGTCCTGGAAAGAACAGTCCCAGCCCAGACTTGAGGCTTATATGGAGAGGAAGGGAGAATAAACTTCAAATTATGGGGTTGTACAAATAATGGTTAAATTTCAATTGTAATGATAGCCAAAAATAAAAAAGAAAGACAGAGAGAGAGAAGAAAGATTGTACATTGTAGGCTGCTTATGACAACATTTACTAAGAAGTGCTGATCTTGCCTTGGATGGAAGATCCAAAGAGTAAAGATCAAGGAGTACCTCCTGGAGGAGGAAGCTTTTGAGCTGGGCTTTGAATGGTGAGTGAAAATATACTTGGAGGAGACTGATAATTAAGGTGCCAGGAGAAAACTTATCATTTGTTGGAGAAAACAGAGCTACAGAGTGAGTCTGGTGAAATTGGTGAGGTCTGTAATAAGCAAGGCTGTGTTAAAAGAATTTTCACCTTATCAATAATTAAAATCAGTGGGAAGCTATTAAAGAGGTTTGCAGTCTGGAGGAATAGGATTATCTGGCTACAGGGTATAGAACAGACTGGGAAGAGGGGAGAGCAGCTCAAGGCCAGCACACCTACATAATACACAAATCCCCCTATTAATTCCCAATGGGAGACATGCTCTGAATTCCACGCACTGTCACTCGTTTGGAACTTCTTTGAACAACTAGCACATATACTGGCATTGCTTTTTGGAGAAAAAGACCAAGAGATCTGAGAAGTTTAGCAGACAAAGTTAAAGAAGAGTTGGCCAAGAAGAGGACAGAAGGATGAACAGGCCAAAGAAGGTAGCCTTGGAAGGCAAATACCTGAGACATGGGTAACATGCCAGTTTGTCTTTTTAAACTTCTATTTAGAGTTAGCAATTAATAAGGGCTCATTCTGCCTCAAAACTGAACCAAGTGCTTTGTATTTTATCACAGTTAATTCCTACCTCTGGAATGTAATCTTGTTAATTTTTTTTTTTTTTTAAAGACAGAAAGGGAAGTTTAGAGAGGTGGAGTAACTTGGTCCAGGTCACATAATCTGTATCTGGCAGAGGAAAACCTTGAACCCAGGGCGCTTTGGTGTCTGACATCAACTCTTTGCCACTGCATTATGTTCCTCTTTAATGGTAACCTAGTACCCTGCTTCTTCATTCTCCATTTCTATTACATCCGGAAGAATTCTGGGTTCTTCTGTTCTTTGCCATAGATACATAGAACATTGGCCCTAATGGAGTCTTAGAAATCAGGTATGTCAATCCTCTAATTTTATAGGGGGTAACGTTAGATTTAGGGATCTTCTGGGGTCCCAAGACCCCTCAACAGGTGTTGAAAAGCAAGGTACAGAACCCCTCGTCTTCCAGCAAACCACACTACCTGTTCAGCTCATCCATTCTCTCTACTGACTTGGCAATTTTGCAGTGGTAAAGTTATTAATAGATAGAGCCTGTGGTCTAGCTTGGCAGAGAAGGGCAGTTCTTAAACACTGGTCTGTGAACAGAGTAAAAATGTCAAAATGAGTTTGAGAAAAGAGAGACTGAGTCTAGACAATTATTTTGTCTAGTTCCTCCTCCAGTAGGAGGAAGAAATGTTGCTTAATGTGTATTTAATGTTGAACGTTTTAGAACTTGTAGCTGTACTCACTGCTTAACTATGCACAGATTCCTCAGGGCAAATTGCCTTCTACTAGAGCAGGAGTGATTCTTTGGTTACCTACAGCTTCAATGCAGATAGGAAAATGATTTCACGCACAGCAAAAGAAGAACTGCCATTAGGTAGAACACCAGACTACTTAAGATTTCCAAAAGGGAAATTTGCATTGTTTAAACTTCAAATTATACATGGGTGCCTACAAGGAAGCACAGACTAACTGGAAGATATTGGATGACTGAGGCTTGCATAATTAAATGCAATTAACTTGTAGCTAGTCCAGATTCTGAAACTCTCCGAATCTTTCAGCGACTCTTGGCTAAGATGCTTCCACACTGAGCCCAAATGGGACGGCTTCTGGGTAGGAGGGACCCCGATTTGGCAGCAGGAAACTTTCCACTCAAGGGAGACCCTTCGTGGTGTTCTTGGAAGAAGACTTGGGGGACCACCTCTGTAGCGAACAAGGGTATTTTGGAAGCTCGGGGTCTATCAAAATGCCAAGTCGTGATGATTTTAGAATAATTCTTCTTCTCTTTCGGAGATGCAAAATCAATAACCTCTGGGTGCGCCTGGGAGGAGATTTTACGTACTATGCCGTAACTGAATTGATTTTATATTTTTAAGATTAAGAACGTTATATAGCTTTTATACCTTGAAAAGGAAATCTCTCACAGGCTGCTTTCCCTACATCTGTTATAAACCTCTTCTTTTTGATGACGAGTAGATATTATTTCATTTCTGGCCAGGCACTATATCTTCCCAAACTATGGGGAGACAGGGGGGCTCTTTCTGCTTCCTTGTGAATTACCACTGTGACTCTATTCTTCGCTGTGGAAAAACTCACTTAGAGTTGTGACTAAGAAACAAAATCCCTGCAGGTATTAATAATAATAATAATTATTATTATTATAAAGCAGGGCAATGAAATGTGTGGGTAAGCTCTGAAACGTTTTGAATTCCGTCTCCACTGTTCACTACTTGTGTGATATTAGTCAAATTAAATACCGTCTTTGAATCTTAGTTTCTTCATACATGTAAAACTCTTTCAGGGTTACCACGATAATAAAATGAGATCCTTGCAATGTAATAAGTCTCTAGCCAGAGTTCTGGGCAACACGTTAAAGCCCACAATTATTCCTTCCCTTTAAGAAGAAAAAAAAAAAAATGAGCCAAACACCATGTATCACTTTGTAAACCCAGAACAGCTCAACTTGTTTTAAATAAGGCACTGTGAGAACTTAAAAGATAGTGGGGCAGAAGTTTGAGAAAGGCTCCGAACAAAAACGAGAGACAACAACAGGGGATTTGCTATAATTGTCTCCAAAGATCTTTGCAGCGTGATGTGGGGTTCTTGCACAATGGCCAAACACAAATCTGAAAAAAAAAAACGAAATGACTGTTTTGGGCTGTGGTAGGTCAGGGAACAACAGTAGACTAGAAGGCCGTGAAAGGGATTTAAACTGGGTAAATCTTTCAACCTCTTCTGACAAGTTTAGTGCAGTCAGCCAGGATGGAAACTGCCAGTGGTAACCTCTGAATTTCCAAGGACCCCCCCACACAAGCGGGCACCTTGGATGTTAGTAGATACCCCTGTGTTTGTTTTGGATGTGGTCGTACGTGTGAGTAGAGTGAGACCTTCCCTATATTCTTACACATCACTGCTACTTAGATTTCACCACATTGAGGAATGAGGTTTCTTTTGGAGACTTCGAGACTAGATAATGAGGTCAGACACCCTATTTGTTTTCTACCTTAGGCCAGAGACTAAAGCCAGATTTTTTTGTTAGTTTAGATCTAACACATTCTGAAAAAAAAAAAAATATGTTGCGGATAACATATATTATGTATTTATTAGAGTAAAGCTTTTCCTGTTATTTTCTTGTTATTTTCCTGTTATTTTCTTCCCCTGGTCTCCACGCACACCTTCGAAATGCCTGTGACCGACACACACCTGTTCATGGTGGCAGACGCAGATGGGATCTCAGGGCATCTGGCATTTCTACTGTCTGGTTCATGAATGGGACTAACTCCCTCCACTCCATGATATCAACATGAAGAAACGTCATCAAGGAAATCAAGGCCAAAAAGAGTAGTGAAAACCCTCCCTGGTCAATCTGGGGAGGGAGGATGACAGCTATTAAGTAATATTAATAATAATGATCAAGATCATCATAATGATAGTAGTTGGACTATTTGCTGAGCACGTGTGAAGCACCACAGTGACAGCTTTGCAGGTGTTCTCTTTGTAATTCTCATAATAATCCAGTTATTTTCCACATAAGGATACTGATGCTGAGAAGGTAGCCACAATGCTGGGAAGTAATGGGGAAGTGATTTAAAAGCATGTCTATCCAGCAATCCCAGGACTGGGTGTCTACCCAAAGGAAAAAGAGACATTCTACAAAAAAAGACACCCGCACTCGAATGTTTGTAGCAGCACAATTCACAATCGCAAAGATGTGGAAACAACCCAAGTGCCCATCAATGCATGAGTGGATTAACAAAATGTGCTACATGTATACCATGCAGTACCTCCAAAGTCGAGTCCAAACTTTGCAAAGGAGGGGGCTGTAGGTGATATCCAACATCAGAAAATAAATAGACCTTTAAAAACCTGAGCTTTGGGGAGCAAAACCTAATGGTCTACACTCACCCTGAACTGCTAGAGCCTGCAGCTACAGAATTTATAAAATCCAAACACATACTGAACTGCATTGTAACATATATCCAGGTATTCAGAAAGAAACTCAGGGAAACTGACAGTGTGTCTATGCAGCACGGTGACTGAGGATGAGGGTTAGCAAACTTCTGAAAATCTGTCACAGTCTACGTTCCAGCCCCACTGAACAACTTTTAGTTCACACCCTGAAAATGCAAGGATTTCTTTCTCCTCCAGGTCTGGGCATGCACTGCTCCCTTCACTAGCTAACCCTTTCCTTCCTTCTCATCTATGTTTAAGAATAATTTCTTTTTTGGTGTGAGGGGGGAGCATTTCCCTGATACCTACACATTAACTTAGGTGCTCCTGCCCAAGTTCCCAATATATGGCTCACCCTGTATGATAGTAATCACTTTACCTTTTTGTATGACTAAACTTTAAATGAAGGACCACAACTTTCATCTTTGCATCCCTAGCAGTTTGTGCAGTGTACTGCATACAGTAGGCACTTCATAAATGTTGAAGGTGGTCATGAAGGAACGGGAGGATGGCTCTACCCCCGCCACTCTCGGTCATCATGAAAACAGGAGGCAGGTGTGACCTTGTTTCTGACAGGTCCACTCTGTTGGATTTTTTCTAGTGGAGTGACTTCAGCCAGGACATGGAAAGAAACCTTGTCCAGCACGTCCCCAGGCGTGGCGTGCTGTTCACTGCGCTCCAAGAACCACTGCCCTTCCAGGGCCTGGGAAAACACTGGCCCCCACATTGGAGATGAGGCGCCTGTTGGACATTCCTCAAAGAAGACTCAGGCAGCCCTGCCTCAGACACCGATGATGTTTCCGGGTCAAGGCCTTGGGGAGAGAGCCCAGCCGCCACCTCTTGTCTCTCAGTTCCCTGCACTCAGCCAAGGTGACGCCGTCGCCCACTCTGTGTGGGGCAGCCCCCACAGCCTCTTGGTGCAATCCTAAAACTCACTGGCCTGGCTTCCCACAGCCTCCACGAATGATGCCAACTGTGCCGTGTCTCAAGGATTTCCCACTTGCCAAGTAGGGAAGTCAGGGAGGCACAGTCAGGCTTCAACCTTGAAGAGGGGTAACCTGGCTATCAGCTGTGCAAGACTTTATGTAAGCTCCAAGGGGCAACCTCTTATTCAATGCTGGGCACTTAATAAATGCTTTAAAAAATTATATTGGCTGGGTAAAGAATGAGGGAACACTTGCTTTTTGGAATCTGTGGCACTGCATCTCAAGGGAAGAAACCCACTTGAGCTTAGGAGCCCAATGATCTGTATTTAAGGGCACCTGTTATCTTGCCGTGCACAGGCATAGCATGTAACTTCTCTGAGCCTCCATTGGATCATTTTCAATATGGGGAAAACAAAAATATTTAACCTGAAGCAGGGGTTTTTAGCCTGGAGTCCACAGATCCTTAAAGAGCCCTTAAAATTGAATATGTATTTTTATGAGGGAAAGAGTTTTAGATGTCATCAGATTCTTTAACTAGGTCAGTGACTTCTTTAAAAATATATATATAAACCACTGTGGCCTTAGATATTTTTATGAAGATGGAGATAACATATATAAAGTGCCTGAGAAAGCAAGAACCCACTGCAGCTGCTGTACAATCACCCGGCATGGTGGGGTGAGCTTTCTGAGCTTTGCTAACAGGTTGTCCCAATCCTCGTGTGTCTGCACACTTCAAGATATGCCCTTCGAGTGGCCAACCAGGTAACCTTAGGCAAATGCCTCTCTCTCCCTGGCCCTGGTTTCTTGGCTGTAACATGACAAAAGTAGTACCCAGTGTTCATCCAAACCTGGCAGATATTAACATCCTGACTGTGCGCCCCCCTTGGATCGTAAGAATAAGTAAGATACAGATAAACACTAATATTAAATTCAGCTGTGTGCTTCATTTTCCAGAGGGTAGGGAGAGTGGTCTCTGCTTTTTGGCTCCAAGAAAGCCTGAGTTGGCAGCCAGAAGTCAACTTTGGTACAAAGAAAAGTCTGGGCACAGGGTGGGAGGGCATTCTCGGAACCGTGCAAGGGGCCAGGCAGACTGAGGCTCTTGACTTTCTCTGTTAAAAGCAGGTGGTGGAGTCAAAATACCGAAGTTTCTGAGAGGCAGAGTGCAGCTGGGGGTCACCACCTCTCTGCTTTCTGATCGCTCAATCAGCCGAAAAAGGAAACTGAGATAAACACTCGTGTTTGGAGGGCAAACCACCGATTTGCATAGCTTTAGACAGAAGAGAGTCCCTTTGACTCTCTTCCGCTGTGGCTTACTCCCAAGTGCTGCTGAAGTTTTCTCGTGAGAAGCATTCCTCTCCTGTAGACCCTTCAGATTAGGGTAGATTTTGACCACCGCTCCCCCCATGGATGGCTTTAGGGAGAGAAGACAGGAGTCTGAAGCAACCCTCCTCTACCCATCCCAGTTACATCAGAGACCTGATGTAGGCATCGAGGGAAAGTGCAAAGAAAACCCACTCATTGGTGGTGAGGTCTTAGACAGGTGCATCACCAGGCAGGCAGAACTGCTCATGGGAGGGGGCTTTGGGTAATCCCGAGGAGAGTGTTCTCCATATGGGGGCTTCCACCAAATATTCATCTGGTTCCTACCTTAATCTACTACAAGTTCCACTATACCCAAAATGGGATCGAACCCACTATCCATTGCTGTGGTTTGGGTATGGTTTGCCCCCTATGAAATCCATGCTGAAATTTGATCCCCAATGGGATGGTGTTGGTGTTGGAAGGTGGGGCCTAGCGAGAGGTATTGCGGTCATGGGGGTGGATCCCGCATAGACAGATTAACGTCTTGCCACCCTGCAGGGACTGAATTAGGTCCTGCAGGGACTAAATTAGGTCCCACAGGAGTGAGTTGCTTAATAGAGTCTGGTTTCCTTGGTCTCTCTCTCTTTCTTGTTTCCTTCCTTGCCATGTGATCTCTGCACAGGCTCTCTCCCCTCCCGCCTTCCTCCACCAGTGGAAACAGGCACCAACCACACCACGAACTTTCCAGCCATCAGAGTTGCGAGCCAAGCAAATCTCTTCTTTTGTTGTTGTTATAGACTTTCCAGCCTCAGGTATTCTGTTACAGCAACACTAAACAGTCTAAGACACCCATATCGTTCAACGAAAGCAATGTGGACAGCTTCAACACTGGCTTTGAACCTTGGCTCTTCCACTTACAAGCTCTGGGAACTTGGTCAAGCCACAGTCTTCCAAGCCTCAGCTTCCCCATCTGTAAAATGGGAGAATAATTCCGATCATAAAGGGTTTGTTGCGTGGGTCAAATAAGGTCATAGGTAAAAAGTGCCTTGAACAATGCCTCTGATCAACGTTGGCTATTGTATAAGTTATCTGTTGATGCCTAAAAAATCACCACAAGATGCTCTGGCTTCACATCACAGCACCGATGACTGCACAGGCAGGAACCCCTGGGAGAAGCCTTAGAAAGCTGCGTATTCCACCTCTCCTTGGTATCATCCAAGACGACATCACTACAGAGAGCAACAAGCACATGCCAAGCATAAAGTGAGGGCTCAATGAACGACCATTGCTATTCTCATATTGTGATGAACTCTCCACAAATCATGGAATATTGGACAAATTCGGCTCTAGTGATGGTCCATTGATGCGACCAGATACCCCAAACTGAAGTGATGGGGTGGGGCATCTCCATTAGCATCTCCCCAAGCCCCATCCTTGTTCTTAGTGAGGAACATTCATGGAATCATTCTTATTATAGCTAAGCAGAGGGGACTCCAGACAGGACCCAGTGGCTTCCAGAGAGCTCTGTTTGTATAGAGCCTTGCAAGGAAGTCGATCTTCTTGCGGTCTAAGTCCCTGCAGCGAGATGCCAGCACCTCCTGGAACGAAACCCAGGGCCCAAGAAGGAGCAGTGGGTTCACATGGAGGGACTGCATTGTTCTTTCCTGGAGGGAAAGTGGGAGAAGATCCCTCATCGGTAAAAGGAAGGGCTTTGTGAAACGAGGGAACTTATACTTGCAGAGGGAGCCACACCCTGGTGCCAGATTTCATGCTAACCTGCCCTTTGTGGTTATTGTTGATGCTAGACCCTGTGCAGTGCATTATGCTGCATTGATATATAGTATGCAGCTCACGTGGACTGCATACACTGAGCAAGACATACCGTGTTTCCCCGAAAATAAGACCTACCCATAAAACAAGCCCTAGCAGGATTTCTAAGCATTTGCGCAATAGAAGCCTACCCCGAAATAAGACCTAGTGATGAGTGGTGGCTTACGCACGCGCATCTGCACAACATGCATTTCGTCTCAGAGGGTAAAGAAGATGAGCAGCCCTTCTCATCTGCCCCACGAGAGCTCTATTGCTTGACATGAGAGATCAGGGCCAATGGTTCTAAAGGAAATAGAGTTGCAAGAAATTCAGGATGGAATTTGGGGTTTGGAGAGTTATGATGATGTTCCAGAAGAAGACGACTTAACTATATTTGAATACGTGTAGATTTATTGTGCCATACTTTAAAAAAATAACACGTCCCCTGAAAATAAGCCCTAAGGTGTCTTCTTGAGGAAAAATAAATATAAGTCCTGTCTTATTTTCGGGGCAACATGGTAGATATATTATAAATGTAAGATGGCATGTAATTATCTGTGACTTTTTTTTCTTCTGTTTCCAACATTAACTTTGAATAGAATTAAACAATGCCTCTTTAGGATAGGTTGGAGAGAAGGCAAAACAGCTGTGTCCAAAAGCTTCCGTAATCAAAGGCTTTGGGTGCATGGTATTGTCGATAATAAAGACAAGACATTGAAAACATTAAAAATAACAATAAGGAAGGCTTGCATCACGTGGCTTCCAAGAGCTGCTCCAAGTTCCTGTCGACACCAACCCTGACTTCTTTCGGCCTCCGCAGAGGCATGTACCCCATGCCTTAACGTGAAGCCCGGAGTCTCGGGCTGTGACCTCATCTCCTTTGTCCAAGCACACCCCAAAGGACAAGCCGCCCAGCAGCACTGCCGGGGACAGCAACACAATGACGTCTATTTCAGTACCCCGGTCGAATTAAATGCAATTTTCATTCCAAAGACGGCGGTGGCAATAGGAGAAACAATGGCCTTTCCCTGACCAACGATACAAGTTAAAAATATGGCCTGCTTCTTCGCTCCCTCCCGTCTTAGCCCTGCACGTTTAAAAATACACCCGTCAGTGGCTCTGCATTTGAAAATGTATTTTGCATCTGATAATTATGATGCATTTAAAGGGCGAAATTAGAAAGCGCAAAATTAGGCTGGCAGGCTTAATTAGCCCATTCTTTTTTTTTTTTTAATGGGTGGAATTTGGGCAACTGTCTGCTCTCGGGGCACAAAGACCCCTAATGGGGGTAGTGGAAGTTCACCCCCTTCTCTGTCAACCCAGGCACTCGGCGAGCCCGCTCCGGGAATTAACTGCGTACCGGGAGATGTGAGACGCGTGAAACAAGAAGATTACACCCTCCTGCCCTCAAGAAAACAACGTGAGTGCGATTACAAAGTCATCTATCAATAGATAATAGAGGACCACGCACGAGGCTTCCCAGAGGCCTGATGCAATCGTGGTGGCGACCCGGGTTTCTACATAAGGAGATGAACTCCGCAGCTTGACGCGTTTTCCAGGATAATTATCGGCTGTATCTGCTGCACCTGAAGATCTGTTTCTTCCACCAGCCCTGGCCTTGCTGAACAGTTATTGCAATTCCTTCCTTTGCACACGGTAGCTCCCACAGGCCCTTAGCTGTCCACAGAGGGACACACCGAGCCGGCCAGAAACTTCCAAGCACCTTCCAACTCCACACGCTGGATTTTCTGAAATCTGATTCCGCGTCCCTGATATAAAGTTATCTTGCTGGCTGGCTGTGCCGAGCTCACTCCGTGCACCCAGACAGGTGGATCCGTCCCCACCCTCGGAGAGGGGAGTTTTGCCTTTTCAAGTCACCGTGGCCCTTCGCAAGCCGCGACAGGCCGCGGGAAGCCGAGGGGAAGAGCAGCGATCCCAGGTATGAGTCATCCCGATGAATCAGACGTGTCCCTACTTTTCTTTTTTCCAAGCTGTGGTTTTCTTCCTAACAGAGGCTGTGTTGTTCTTTTTGCAGCCAGATCTAGAAGCCTTCTGCACGCTGAGAAAGGAGGCCCCACAGTCCTGTGTCCGCCAGACAGAACCCAGAGGGGGCCGCCCCCGTTTCAGGCCGCGTGGAATGTTCTGGAACAATCCGTAGGGCAACTGCAGACCCAGGGAGACAGCCTGAGAGCTGAGTCTGAACCTAGACTCTTTAGATGCTGGGTGGTCTCTGCCAAGACACTTCACCTCTCTGGGGTGAAACCTCCAGCTTTTGGAGTAGCTGTAAAAATCCATTCATGTAAGAGAGTAGTTCTCAACCGGGAGCCATTGTGTCCCCCACGGGGTGGCATTTGGCAATGTTTGGGGACATATTTGCTTGTCACAACAAGTGCCATCCTTATGACTTTCCATGAGGCATTTGGTGTTACAGAAAAGTCCTTTGGGTCCCTAACAATCGATCAAGACTCGGGCACTCTCCTTTTCAATGTGTTGAAATCTTTATCAAAAGTGTGTACGCGCTCAAACGATATAGACCAGGTTGTAGAGGGCAGGGGGCAAGTCAGCCACATCCCTGCTACAGTCATACCATCACTGTGATCTTTTTTAACCTGGTCAACATGTTTTTGTGACAATGTTTGGCTATTTCCTTCCAAAGAACCCCAAAACTGAAAAAAAATACTAGAATAGGTCTTCAGAAAAGGTATAACATATTTCAGTTTCTAAAAACCTAGTCATTGGAATTTCCCTGGAGTCCAGGCAGATGACAAAATGGTAGCTTCCACCAGGCAGAGAGGGGGGGGGAGGGAGAGGGAGAGGAGAGAGGGGGAGAGAGGGGGAGAGAGACAGAGAGAGACAGAGAGAGAGAGAGAGAATAGTCTGGAACTGCACACAAACAGGCCACCCTACAGACCCTGGGAAGGGTGAGAAAATCAGGAAGGTCTCAGTAGGCATCTCCAGGGACCTCTTCCTTGCAAAGCTTCCTCCCCTCTACAGCAAACATGGCTCCTTCATCACTTGTATTTACAATACACAAACACACACAAAATCTACAAAGGACAGAACAGACAGTATTGGGATTGTCCATGAAAACGAAAGAAGAAACGGAGCAACACCCCCACCGTGGTGGACCAACTAGAGGCCGGGCAGTGCTGAAACCTTCCCACACGCCAGGTCTTTAAGGTGCCTGATTTGCCACTGGAGTGAACACAGCTGTCAGGAGGGGCCGTGGCCCCAAGCCAAGATGGGGAGAGCAGGGGAGGGCATGAACAAGGAGGAAGAGGGTCCTTTGCAGACTAGACAACGAAGTAGACTTGGAGACAGTTCCCCTCATTGCTCCCTGCATAAAACGGTGGTGTGTTTCAGATGGATTACCGCAAACTCCCAGATAGAGCCCTTAAGTGCTGTTTACACCGTGCGCTAATTGCAGTAATGCAACCCACCCCCTGGCCGTCCCTCAGCTTCGGTCCAGTTGGAGAGTAGCAGCCTCCTTTGCGGATCTCTCTCTCAGCCCCCCGCTACGAGCTTAAGTGGGAAATACGTCATTATCCTTTTGATTGCTATGGAGGCCATGGACGCTGACCGGCCACAGCCGCCCGGGACCTTTGGACGGCAGGGATGCCGATAGTGCCGAGTGGGATCTGTCTGTCCGGAGTGGGAATGACCTTCTTTCGGGTCTGAGGCTCACCACCACCAGAGCCTTACCTGTAGGGGTCCTGGGAGCTTTGGTCTAGGGTCAAGTTCATATTGTGGGGTATGTCTTTCAGTCGTGGTGACGGTTGACGGTCCCTGGTGGTCTTGCTTTCTTCCTAAAATTAGTAGCAGGAACAATAGCCCATGTTATATTCCCTTAAATAACTGTCCGTAGCTTGGGGAAATTGAAACGCACCTGCATAAAAGTCAGGGCCAAGCAGATGTTCCGTGTGCGTGCACCGTGCCCTTTAACCTGCTGCACGTGTGAAGTTGGAACTCGCCCACTGATCGCCTCTCGGTCAGCAGACTTCATCCCTTATGATGCCTTTATCCCGTTAAACCCCCGTCCAGATCCCATTTCAATGCAAGAACCAAGTTCTCCTAACCTGAGATTTTGGCTCTGTATCTATTTTATATTGCTGCCTTAATAATTTACTTAAAATTTAGCAGCTTAAAACAGCACAAATTCATTCTCTTACACTTCTGGAGGTCAGAATTCTGGCATGCATCTCAGTAGGCTAAACTCGAGGTGTGGGTGGGGCTATGTTCTTTCTGGAGGCTCTAGAGGAGAAGCCATTATCTGGCCTTTTCCAGTTTCTAGAAGCTGCCCTTATGTACTGGCTTCCGGCCCCTTCCTCCCTCTCCAAAGCCAGGCACAGTGGGTGGAGTCCCTCTCGTGGCATTATGTGGCTCCTTCCTCTTGTGTCCTGCCTTCCACTGGGGCCCAAGTGATTACACCGGGCCCACCCAGATAATCCAGAATAATCTCTCTATTTCAAAGTCAGCTAATGAGAAACATTAATTCCATCTACACCCTTTCATGCCCCTTTGCTGTTTAACAGGTTCTAGGGAGTAGAATGTGTACACCTTGGGGAGCCATCCTGCCTTCCACAGCTCCTCTTCTGAGATGGCTCTATCTCAGCTCCTCAATTTGGCAATTGCCCAAATGATCTTTCAGATAATGTTTTTCAGAGGTAATACTAGATCTTGGGATTTCCCTGCTCATAGACAGAAAACACACACAGACATACACACACAACACAGAGGGATGTACACCGTGCATCCCAGCCTTGCAGAGTGGACCAGAACTGGCATGCAAGCTCCCTGAAGGCAGTTTGAGCGCTGAGAACAGCACCTGCTATATTGCAAGCACTAGGTTAGTATTTATTGAATCAATCGATGGATCAGAAGAATAAATTCCAGCCTAGGAATGGTGTAGCACTACGATAATACATGGGCCCTGGAATCAGACACAGGGTCGATCTCTTGCCCAGCTTCTAACAGTCTCTGACTCTCTCAGTGAGCCTCAGCGACGGCATCTGCAAGGTGAGGATAAAGTCACCTGTCTCCTGGTGCTGCTGTGAGGCAAGAGCATGCTTAGCAGGCCTGGGATGGAGTAATGTTCAAAGAGCAGAGGCTGGTGTTGTCATCCTCACCCGAGTGAGTACGCTCGGTCAGGGAAACAGACATGCAGGCAAAAGAGGCCCCTAAACGTGAGAGGTGCTTTGTTTGCATTCATAGTTGGGAGACAAAGCAGGAAATGGTTCGTTGAAGGAGACTTCCTAGATATGTGAGCACTCAAGCCAGCTGAATCCAGAAGGTGTCAGAAAGGTAGGGAAGGGGAGAGCCATTCCCGGAATGGGAACAGCATGAGTGGGTCCAGAGACAAGGAGCGGTGAGCAATTTTACAGGGTCAGAGCCCAGGGAACCCAGCAGGGACATGGCAGGAATGTCCCATGGCTGGCATGGAGTAGTTTAATAGAAGGGCTTGTGACTGGGCAGGCTCTGTGTACCCTGCTAAGGAGCTCTGATGGCCTGAGATGGCTATTGGAAGGCTGCATGCACCTCAAATGGTTAGCACAGACATGTCCTTTGTTTCCACTTCTATGTTCTTGCTCTCTCACTAATTCATGCAAACTGACACACACATGAGATACATACAACGGTTTTGCAAAAAATACATACACCTGGAACATGCATACCTGTTGGATGCGCATACAACATAGCCACTGGGATGACAGATGCATTTTGGTCATACTATACACACACACACACACACACACACACACTCATGGTCTAAGCACACACATGGGACATGTGCACAAGCACACACATATAGGACATACATATACCCAAAACAAATACACCACTAATCGTGTGGCCAAACATGTATGCACATACACAGAGGGTACACATGCAAGCATGCATATACATACAATATACACACTGACCATACACATACAAGCACACGTATAGCTATACAACACCCAGGGCACTAAAGACACAGACACATGAATAAAGCACACTCACTGTCCCACATGCTTATTAAACATTATCCATACTCAAACACACATACTGAATATGTATTCACACCAATTAAATCCACACACACACACACACAATCCATGCACACCCCCACGGAGAGCATACACAGTGGACCATGCCAAGGTGCACGCGCACACACACACAAACACCGTGGCCACGCACCCACAGACTCCTCATTTCTTTCTGGAATGTGTCTGAGTTCCAAGGCAGGCAATTGTTTGGCCCGAGGGAGGCTGTGATTATTCTCCCAGCCACAGCAGCTCAGAGACCTGTTTTGGATTACGCAGTTTTTACCTGCCTCCCTCCCCGTGAGTAAGGGCGGTGCTGAAAGGGAGCACCTTGGCTGTTGCCCGAGCACCCAGCTTCTGTCTCTCCCTACCGAAGTCTCTGCAGCCCGTGACAGCGGGATGGCATCCAAGAGCATTGCTAGATCTTTTGCAAGAGTTCCCCATGCGAGACTCTGCCCATCCCTAGCTCCCCTTCCAAACCAAGCTGGCAGGGGGCCAGGCCATGGAGGGGGGGGTGGGAGGGGGGAGGCAGAGCCAAGCGCTTGGCGGCTCCTAGCGCTGCAAGGCCCTCATCAGCCACTCTCCCAGGGGCCCTGTGTGGGTGATGAGCCAGCCAGCGCTGCAGCTCTGCAGAGAGGCGCCCCGCACCACATCTGCTCGGCCTAGCTGGGGCTAGTCAAGCACGGCTTCCTCCTCTGCCTGTGCTCATCTAGGAATTGAGTCCCAATGAGCTGGAACCCGGTGCTTCCGCCTGAAGTTTTGACAAGTGTCTGTTTCCCGGCAGCAGCCAAGATGGAGCTGTGACCTCCATGAGGGTTAGTGAGTGGAAGCCACCGGGCACCAAACCCACTGTCCCCACGCATCGTCCTGCTCCGAGGAGCTAATAAACAAGGTCACGCCTCACGACGGGTGTGTGGCCTCCTCCTTGGAGAGACCATCTGACACTCTCAATCGGAGTGAGCCTCAACAGATGTAGGCCAAGCCTCCAGTCTTTGTTAGAGACGGAGAAACATGGCGGCACCAGTGCAGTGATGTTAATAATGCATAGGGGTGTTAATAATGCAGCTCAGATGTTATACGGGGCCCCTACTTCGGGGAGATTCAGTTCAAATTAGCCGGAACCCTAATCCCACAGACTTGCAAGAATCCAGACTTGTCCCCAGAATGGCTGTGAATTCCCCCAACCTCTGTCTCCTCACGTTTCTCCCAGCTTCCAGGCTCATAAAACACCTGCATGTGGCTTCACGCTCCACCCCCGTCAAGCTGAACAAAAAAGCCCATTTCTTAAAGGGCTTCCCAAAAATGAACCCACTCACCTGAAACAAGTGAGTGGCTTTCCTAAAAGGGTCAAGATCCCAGGAAAGGTCGTCGCAGGGGCCTAGGGCTGATGTCCCAGCATCACGCCAGCTTCCGTTCCACAGTCACGTCCCACTTTCCTCTTCCTTCCCTCTCAGGTGTAACACCCAAGTATGTCCCCCCTCTCCGTCAGCCCACTCACATTCAGGCCCGGGAAGATCCGTTCCCATCACCTATCCTCAAGGAGAGCTTTCTGAATATTCTTCTCTTCCAAGAGTGGGTGACTGCCCACAAGAAATTCTCATGACAGCTGCCAATAAAATAAAATATCCTCCATACTATTACCTCATAAAGTTGCAGGTGCATCACCAGAGACGTTCCTCCAAGGTAAGCAGAAAAGTGAGCTCCGGAGGTGAAAGTACTTTCAATATTAAAGAGGCGCCCAACTGCTACCCCAGCTAATTGAAGAGAGGACTCAGGAATGGGGTGCCCAGTCTGACTCTTGTTTCCCCAAGCAAGCACTGGGGAGACAGCTGAAGCTAGAGTCAGAAGCCTGAACCCTAGATGGGCCCCCAGGAAATATCTCTCCATCCGGGGTCTGTCTGACATCTTTGTTCCCTGTTGACAACAAAGGCCTGAGCGCCAACTATTCACCCCCGCCCCCAAGTCATGGCGGTTTCCCCAGGCCAAGAGGGGCAAAGACGGGGCAGGTCCAGGTTACAGGCCTCCTCCGAACGAGTTGACTAGCGGCCATTCATACGCAGGAGAGCTCCCTTTGAACAAAGTCTGTTTGTTTCCCCCAAGAGCCTGGGGACTCCGTGCCAAGACAGAATGACTCACTGGCTCCCAGGCCTTGCCTAGCTCCGGGAGACACTCAGCTGCTACCATTCTCCCCAAAAAGAGCGGCAGGGCAGCCCGAATCTGGCTCCAGGCCACTGTGGGTTCCACACAGTGAGCTTCAAGACGCAACCTGGAGAAGTTTCCGTGTGTGAGCCTTCAGGCCTCAACCCCAGCGTGGGGTTGTGAGCCCACAAATCAGAAAACCTCCCAAAGCCATGGCCCACTTTGAAGGCAAACATGTGGAGCTTCATGCTGGGTGGTTTGAAAAACATCCTTTTTAAGATTTCGGAAGCTTCCAGAAAAGCTTTGTCTATGAAGTTTCTTTCTTCAGAGCCGTCAAGATCAGTCATCAACACAAGTAACCTACCTTCCCTGACGGAAAACTGGATAAAAATCCACCTAGTAGTCCTGACGGAGTTTTAGATTCACAGTCTGTAATATTGACATTATGTTTCTCCTGGCCTCACGGAATTGCTGTGAAGACAAACCACGGAAATAATAATTATGGGGACAGGCCAGTCAATGCCCTCCATACCTTACAAGTACCCTGACTTCATCATCATCATCTCTACCGCAGGGCCCCAGGAAGTCAAGGGCAGGCATCGTTACACCCATTTTGAGAAAACTGAGCCTGGAGAAGTCACGTGGTCCAAGTTCACACAGCTAATAAAAATCACATTACGCGGAAAAGTAGCAGGACAGGAAGATGGCAACAGGTGAACACTCAGCCAACTTAGAGAGGCAAGAAAATGTTTTAGTGGTTTGTAAGTACTTGAGAAGCACATGTATTAATTGGCCATGACTGTGCTAATTATGAAGCTAGTTTGGCTGTCTAATAAAAACAGTTTCCATAGGTCCTTCGCTGACTGCATCCGCCCCTGGGCAAATTACTTCCTAAAACAGAAAGGTATAAACTGGCAGGTGATCTTGATTGGTTTTTCTCATGGAGTAAGAGAGATGTCACATATTCATCCAATAAATATATTTATTCAGTGTCGCCTTTGGGCCATGCACTCTCTTGGGGCTGGGAATATAATTGTGACCAAAAGAGGCAGGGGGCTTACATTCTAGGACAGGGCTCAACAACCTCAGCACTGGTGGCTTTCTAGGTTAGATCGTTCTTTCCTGGAGGGGTCTGTCCTGTGTACTATGGGTTGTTTAGCAGCATCCCTGGTCTCTACCCACCGGATGCCAGTATTACCCCCCAAGATGTGACAATCAGAAATGTGTCCAGACATTGCCAGATGTCCCTTGAGAGGCAAAATCACCCCGATGGAGACCCACTGCTGGAGTGGAGAGAATCATTTATCAAACACTGGCGGCTGTCAGCACCAAACCCAGCCCCAAACCCAGTTTTCTTGGGAGAGGTGATATCTAGGTGGAGATACAGGCCCTGGCCAAACTAGTCAGGAGAAGCAGTTTGGAGAGCATGGGAGATGAGTTTGGGAAATGTATCAGAGGCAGAGGGAACAAGGGGACCCAAGACATGGAGGGAAGCATGACCCTGCTTTGGGGTCTGTGTTGCCTGTCATTTATATTCAGCTCTCTGGATAAAGACTAAAGGTAGCTTATTCTATGTGCATTTGACACAAGGCAGGGAGAAATGGCAGAACCTGCATTCCGGATGCTTAGACAAGCTAGAACCCTGGGCGAAAGTTCTGATGCACCAACCAGAGCAAATGCAAACTCCTGCATCATAATTCCCCTAAAATCTAGCCATTAAGACAGGAAACCCTTGGCTGGAAGGCAAAAGATTTTAGAAGGCATTCAGTGCAAGCCAATGCTTCTCACTCTCATTTGCACATGAGAATCCCCTGGAGGGCTTGTTAAAGCACAGACTGCTGGGTCCCACCCCCAGAATTTATGATATGGGATGTCTGAATGGAGCCAGGGAATTTGCATTTCCAACAAGTTCTCAGGTGATGCTGATGCTGCTGGTCTGGGCCTCCACCTTTGAGAACCACCAGTATCAACCTTAGCTTCCAAAGATATCAATAGCCCTGGGTCATATTAATAGAGATATGGTGTCTAGTACAAGAAGGTGAGCACCTCAATGCTCAGACTACAGTTGATATGCCAGGAAGAATGCTCAGCACCATATTTTAAGGGGATCCTTGGTAAACTGGAAGGTGGCCAGAGAAGAAGGAGGGCGCTAGACTATACGGAAGTGGCTGAGGAACGTGGGGCATTTGGGCTAGAAAAGAGAAGTTATGGGAAGAATTTGGGAGCTGCCTTCAAATATCTAAGGGGCTGTTACCGTGAAAAATGGATTTGATTATTCAGTTTTGATTCTCCAAGGTTGACCACATTGGTTCAAGATAAGGACAGCCAAGGTAGGAGTGTCAGGGGCGGAAGTTCAGGCTGAACATAGAGTAGAGCCTTGTAACACTTGCAGCTCTAGGGCAGCACTGTTCAGTAGAAATATAACGTGAGCCACCTATGTAATTTAAAATCGGCCTGGCAGCCATGTTATAAAAAGTGAAAAGAAAGAGGTGAAATTAATTTTAATAAACATTATGTAACCTAACACTTCCAAAATGTTACCAATTGAATATTTGACCCATATTGAAATCATTCATGGGGGAGTTTACATTCTTTTTGTGTGTGTGTGTGTGTGTGTGTGTGTGTGTGTGTGTGTGTGTCACACCTGGAGCACATCTGCATCCGGACCTGCCACACACCAAGTGCCCTGTGGCCACAGGTGGCTTGGAGCTCCCATATTGGACAGCCAAGCTCTAGTGACTCAGTGAATGATTCCTAATTTCAGTCAGTTGCTCTGTCCTGTGACTGACTTTTTGTAGTCCTATTTTAAGTTAACGTGAACTCATTATCGGTCTTTATGCATATTTTGAGAATTTCATAACATGTATTAAGGTATCTAGAGGAAGCCTGGGACACCCTAAATAGAGATAGCATTGGGACTCTTTTGATTATTAGTGACCGGAGACTCTATTCAACCTAGCTTAAGGACACACCAAAAAATAATTTATTGGTTCACATTTTGAAAAAAAGTCCAGCGGCAATGGCGACTTCTGGAGTGGCTCTACCCAGATATGTCAATAGTGTCACCAGGAACTTCTTCCTGTGGCTTCCAAAATCACTCACTTCTGTGCTGCCCTCATGCATTTTTTTTTTACTGTGTCCCAGGCTTCTTTATTTAAGAACAAAGTGATGAGTGATGTGAGGATTAAAATCAAGAGCATCATTGAACTTCACCCTCCTTCCAATGAGCTTCCAACCATGCTTTGCCCGGATTTCCCTGGTGTAGAAATACAGCCACTGGAAGCTCCAGTCTTAAACGATCTTTCCAGTGAGCATTCCCTCTAAAATAAGCTGCTTTTATCCAATAATTCCAGAAGGCCCTAGGTTTGAGGCTTGTTGACTTGGATAAGCAGTGCGCTGCTCACCCCTGAATCCAAGCATCATGGAATCTGTATTTGTCAGGGCTGAGTCACCTCTGGAGCCAGGACCTTAGGAGGTCAGACCAGTGCAAATCCCAAGAATAGGGGGGAAGGGATGGGTTCCCTAGGAAAAAAAGGGCAGGAAGGACGAATGCTGGGTCACCAGAGATGGGAATTAACGATAGAGGCCAGTGTATCATTTGTCCTGGGTTGTAATAACTCCCTTTTGAGAAGATCCAGCTTATCTTTATTGCAAAGCCACTGTTTGGAATTTCATAGATGAGGAACTCAATTTAAATTACCGAGCTTAAATTGAGCCTTATTAAGCCCAAATACAGCCACAATGTGAGTCTTTTTTTTTTTTTTTTTTTGACCAATCTACTTAAAGAAGCCTTGCCCCGTGTGGCTGAATTTAGGTGATAGCCCACAGACCAAGATCAGAATGAGGCCCTGGAGCTTGACCAATAAATCTAAGTTTGCAAAATTCCCAGGAAACGTAGAAGTACAAACTTGGGCACATGGGGCTATAGTGTATTTTTTTTCCTCCCTTTCCCCAAACAATGACTTTTCAACCAAGATGGTGATGGATCTCACACCAAAGATCTCCAGGGTCAAAGATATGAACACCTGAGAAGACTCAAAGTCTGACTTCTTCCAGTCTCTGGACGAAGTCCGCAGCACAAACAGGATTGGGCATTTCATACGGGATACCTGCAGCTCTCTCTCCTGGGCGTTCTTTGTGCCACTCGTCCACTAATTTCCTCCTGGGGGGGTTGGTTGCCCCAAAGTTATGTACTTTCTCTGCTCACATATACCAAAGTGGTTCTCCAGTTGATCCAATGATCCAGACAGGGCCATGGGCTGATGCCTGAAATCTTTACATGTGCAATGCATTTGGGGAAAAACAAATAAACAAACAAACTAAA